AGGGGATGAGGAGAGTAGCATAAAAATATTTTCCTAAAAAAATATTTTCTACTCTCTAACCAAACACTAGAAAATATTTTCAGAAAATATTTTCCACTCACCAACCAAACAGGAAAAAATAAATGGTAAAACCACTCATTTTCCATAAAAATATTTTCTAGGAAAACATTTTCCTTTCGTACCAAACACACCTTTAGAATTCGCTGGTGTTCTTGTTGCTTCCGCCATGCCAGAATCATTTGAATCAATTGAATAATCTTATTGAACCAACATCCCCTTTAACAAAATGATGCGTGTTCCGAACCATGCATGATTTGACGAATTTTCTTATGTGATTTATTACAACAACAAAAAAAAAGCTTTTCTTTTGTCGTGAGTGACTTTGTAAACGTAAAAACAATTTTTCTACTGTAACATATTGCAACCTGCTAAGTGCTAACTCGTTTATCAGCCCTATATATATGTCACTGTCATCAAACTCTTAGATACAATTTACTGAAACCGATTAAGAAATAAAAGGACAATGCAAAATTTGATTGATAATAGCACAGTCTGGGAATATTACAAAAAGAACAGCTAAACGAGGGGAATTATTCACGTTTAAAGGGAATAAGAATTTAAGTTTAACTATTGACACTAATTGACAGTATATATGGGTGTATATTGGACTAGGTTGGTTCGGTTTTTATCAAAACCAAACCAACTACATTGGTTTAGATTTGTTCGGTTTTGCCGGGTTTTCGAATTTTTTTGTTATGTGAATATTATTTCAATCTTACTTTGTTAAATTTTTTATATGTTTACTAAAAATTATAAAATTGGCAAATATATGATCTATTAAATATTCTTATGGACAAATTTTCTTAGTAACACATGATAGTTATTTTCTTGTCGTCCGAAAATAATATTACGTTGACATACACTTTCAAGGTTAACCGAACTTAATAATTAAACATAAAAATAAATAGGAACCTATACAATTATATGTTCTATTTAATTTAAAATTATCGAAATACCATTTCAAAAATTGAAAAGATATAAAAATTTAATAGATCTTGACATATGAATATGGAAGAGCAAAGAGATTGACGCATTTCACTAACACTTGATAAGAAAGTGATGATGTAACCATTATTTAAAGTTAATAAATATGGAGCACTTCATATTTAACTAAATATTACATCTCACCAGAGAATCGCAAATATTTCTAAACATTTTTTAAAGAAATTATATAAAAAGTCTTAAAAGTATATATAAAAATTATATATTTATATGTCGAATTTCTTTACTCAATATCAAACCAAATCAAATCAAATTTAATCGCGCTTTTTAATCGCTTTGATTTGATTTTTAATTTGACACGATTTTTCGGTTCGACTTGTACATATGAGAACATATCATAATTACCCATTATTTTACTATCAAAATCCATGTTGATACTTCCCTATTTCCAATTTTCGCCTTCTAATCCCTAAAATGTACAATTGAAGAGCTGTAATTTAAATGGCAAAAGCTTCAATTCCAAACCACACATGGCGGACCCTTGCAGAAAGTTAACGACGGGGCCCAAGAAAGGGCCGGTAGGTTCACCAAGCCCGGCACAAAAGAGTGACAAGAGTTTTGGATTTATGCTCTTCTTCTCACCTCCTACTCCTAGAAGAAAGAATGAGTCTTATAGCCTGTTTGGCCAAGTTTATTTTTGCCAAAAGTATTTTTTTTTGGGCCAAAAGTACTTTTGGTCAAAAATTGAGGTGTTTGGCCAAGCTTTAGGAAGGAAAAAAAGTGCTTTTGAAGAGAAGCAGAAACAGTTTTGGAGAAGCAGAAAAAAGTAGCTTCTCTTCAAAAGCNCTTTTTTGAGAAGCACTTTTGCGAAAAATACACTTAGAAGCAGTTTTTTAAAGCTTGGCCAAACACTAATTGCTGCTCAGAAGTGCTTTTTAAACTAATTAGCCAAACACAAACTGTTTCTCACCAAAAGTACTTTTGAGAAAAACACTTTTGAAAAAAAAATATTTGCAGCTTAGCCAAACGGGCTATTAGTGGAGAAAAAAAAGTAAAAAAATATAAATAAAAAAGAGAGAGGGCAATTCCGGTAATACAAGGGTTTATTGCCAACTATCCACGTAGGGTTTCACTACCATCTTTCTTTTAAGTCCTCTGCATCTTCCTGCTCAGGCCGTCGAACCGAAACTCTAAAGACCCTTTTGCTTCGCGTGGTAAGTCCTTCTCTACATTGTCAATAATAACTATAGAGATTAACCGATGTGGTTTCATAAGCTTAATTTGAGATCCAATCGACAGGGTAGGTGGGCGTGGAAATGACGACAGTTCCAGGGCAACTAGTTTGGGAGATCGTGAAGAAAAACAACTCATTTTTGGTGAAGGAGTTCGGTAATGGTACCGCCGGTGTTGTCTTCAGCAAAGAGCCTAACAATCTTTACAATCTTCACTCTTACAAGCATTCTGGTTTGTCTTGCAATACATGATCCTGTACTTTTCTCGATTAAAAATAATTTGGTTTCTGTTGTTTATGATGGTACCCCGAGCTTCAAGAGTAGTACATTGTGTTAGAAGCTCATGGTACAACCGTTGGTTACAGGTTTAGGAAATGTTTTGTTTATTAGAACCTTGGTAGCTGTTTTTTGGAATAAAGTTTGTTTTCTGTAGTATAATGTGAAACGTTTGAGGCTATTTGTTGCAAGGGGAAGGCTACATATTGTATTTGTCCGCTCTCCCTACCCCATGTACCCTGCACTAGGTGGAGAACATCTGGTACATGGCGTACAAACTCCTTAAGCACATCAGTATGTTTAATGAAATAATGATTTGAATTTGTGACTGTGAACTAAAGATTCAATTGTTTAATGAGTTACATTTCTAGTTTTAGCTGTTTTAGTTTTCCAAAAAAAATTAAAAATTAGGCATGAGTTTAACTTTTGCTGTTATGACTTTATAGGCCTAGCAAACAAGAAGACTGTGACTATCCAGCCTGGGGGCAAAGATCAATCAGTGTTGCTTGCTACATCAAAGACTAAGCAACAGAACAAGCCTTCAAGTTTGCTGAATAAATCTGTAATGAAGAAGGAGTTCCGAAGCATGGCCAAGGCTGTATCAAATCAGGTGATTGACCCGTCAAATGTTTGTATTTACATGTATTTATTTGGTCTTAAGCTGGATTCTAGCTACTTTATAGTGGTCAAGGTTTATGTTGCTCTGTTTATCTCTGCTAGTTTAATTAGGCCTGGGATATGGCATGGAATTCTTCTATCGTATGACGTCGTTGATCTTGGATGAAAATAAGAGGTAGTTAATAAGACCAAATAAAACATTCAGATCCTAGAGAGCTACAATTGGAGTTATTTGAGCATTAAAACATGTCTGGTCATTGAATACTGTTTACTTAATTCTCAGTCATAGTCGTGCTGGTCATATTCTATGTGACGAGTATACCTCTACCCTTTAGAATTGCAAATAATCCTTTTGCTATCTGAAGAATGTGCACTTGCCCAGTTGCCCTTTTCATTTTCCAGAACTTTTCTTCAGAGATTTTCTCATTATCCTGTCAATCTGCTCGGTTTCCCTGGTAGAGTGCTGTCTCAATATTAGTTTTGCTTACATGATGACACTACAATTGTTGGAATTAGGCTTGTACTCCAAAATATTTTTAAGCACTAGTATCGTTGCTAGGTTTTTTGATTTTTTATCAATAGGTTCTTCTTTGTCCTCACTCTCTCTGCTGTTACGATCTTGAATTTGCATAAACTTGTTTGGAATACAGGTAGCGGATAACTATTACAGGCCAGATCTGAAAAGGGCATCCCTTGCAAGGTTGAGTGCTGTAAACAGGAGTCTCAAGGTTGCGAAATCTGGTGTCAAGAAGAGGAATAGGCAGTCCTAGAGTGGCAAGCTTAGGAAATATATGTTGTATGAACTGCAATTGTTTTCATCTTAATGTCCTTGGGTATCAGATGTTTGTTATTTTAGTTTATATTTAGAATTTCTTGTTGAAGTTGGTATTTCGAGATCTTATGGATTTTGGGCTAAAAATATACGTTCCTTTTGGAATTTTTATAAAGATAGTAACAATTATTTAGAAATGTGTGCTTTTGCGTGGATCAGTCCTTTTACATAATGGTAGTCATTAATTTTACGGAAAAGGGCCTAAACTACCCCTATCGTTTGCTAAACGGTTTATAAATACGCTCCGTCTATTTATCCGTTCAAAAAAATACACCAAGTTAATTCTATTAATAAAATTACCCCCTCGACTAACGGCAGAACTTGGTGGGCCTACAATTTAATGATGTGTCATTTTTCTATTGGGCCACGTGACAATCTCTGGAGCAACAATGGATATTATTTCGACCCATTTACCTTATCCGACCCAAGGTTTTATTATTTGGGTCATAAAATTACATTAACCCACCTAACTGATCGTATAGCAATACATGGCTGACCTTTTTCAAGGTCTCTCTATTTCTTTTCCCTTTCATCTCTCTCTCTTTTCAATCTTGAAGAATCTTTTGGGTCTTTAGTATTATTGAGGTTCATCATAGCTAGAACTTTAGTTCAGTCAACCAACATCCCATCTTCAGTTGCCGGTGAAAGGACTAGGCAATTTAGTGGATCTGGAAAGAAAAAAAACCTAACTGATCCTATCAAAATTTTGGAATCACCCTTTATCAGGTGTATTCGTGACTTGATTGTAGATTAGTGGATCTGGAAAGAAAAAAAACCTAACTGATCCTATCAAAATTTTGGAATCACCCTTTATCAGGTGTATTCGTGACTTGATTGTAGATTTCCTTGGTGCACAATTCTTACGAGATGAATAGTATTTTAGAACTCCAATTTCTTATTGTCGTGTATTTATGTAGTGGCACCCTTTTTCTTGTCAAGATTATGATCCTTCAGATCGTCATTTCCTAGTGTGGTTCTTGGAGCTAGCTCATCTTATTTTCATTTATGATTAACAATGGTTACCGAGGAGGAGCATGATCATCCTCTTGTTTCCAATTTTGGCAGATTATTGGTAAGACCGAAAACAACTGGGTTGATCTTTTTAGGAATTTTTACATTCCTATGCCACATAGGAAACCTTATTACCCTCAATGTTTAAGGTTTGACTTAATTACACTTAGTATACCAAACCACCAATTCTATACCATAATTAATTAAGGGTATAATTAATTGTACGTTTTTTACTCCTTAATTAAAGGAATCTGAAAATTCTTCTTTGTTTATATGAGAACAGAATTTGAAGTGCTTAATCCAGGCATTCTTGGATGCAGATTCCTCCAATATTCATTCTTCGATGCAATAAGTTTCTCGTTGAAGCCTAATCCAAAATATTGCTTTTGGTTCTTCCATATATTCCAGATGATGCTATTAGTTGTGATGGAAAATCAGTAGCAGCTTTTGGTGAATAAGTACTGCATTTCTTGGGAATGTTCGGTAATATTAATTGGAAATCTTACCTTAACATTTCCCAATTCAAACATCCATCAGAACCATTCCAGTTAGAGATAAGATGAAAACAGAATCAATTAGCAACAGAGAATATGCTAGATATATACTGAAAGAACATATCTTTCAGTATATTTTCTACAAAAATTCTACAAATATATAACAAATCAGTTTAAATATGTATAAAGCAGTATTATTTGTAAGGGTATCTATATAATTACTACATTTATACTAAATTGTAGACTGTTTTTTGCAGAAGATTTGTAGAAGTTTTAGTCGTTTTTGATTTGTGAAAACAGAAAATAAAGCATCTACAATCAGAATACAAATAATCTACAATTTATCTACAAAATATCTACAAACTGGGTACATTGAATTTTAATATCCCAATTCCCATTCAATTGTAGCTTAATTGGTATTTTCGACATAATTGCATTTTTTGCAGAAGATTTTGTAGAAGTTTTAGTCGTTTTGGATTTGTGAAAACAGAAAACAAAGCATCTACAATCAGAATACAAATAATCTACAATTTATCTACAATTTCTGCAATATGTCTTCTTCTTCTTCTTCTTCTTCTTCTTCTTCTTCTTCTTCTTCTTCTTCGAGTTTCAATCAGAAATTCAGTCAATACCAAGTCTAATCTTCACCAAAACCCCTCAAAATTGAGATATAAACTCCAAACCATATTCCCGATTATTTTCAACAACACCTAATCCAAACAAATAATGATTTTTGAAAACCCAAATTTGAATTCAAAGCTTTCAAGCTTTTTAATGGCTGTCAATGGTGGAATTGTTGCTCTCTTTTCATTTGCTTTGTATTACTGAAATTTGCGATTGAGAAATAGAGAGAGATGTAGAGAGAATTTCTGGAAACAGAGCGTATCGCAAAAACAGAGTATGGAAAATCTTGTTCTGCGTCGTGGAAGACCAGAGTGAAGCCGACGATAATTATGGAATGTGCGTCATTTGCGTTGGGGAAGATCTGGAAAATATTTAATTCCCCTTTTTAGCACGCAAAATAAGGAATCATAAAGCTACGGTGATTCCTTATTTAATGCATTGTATATATTAGGTAGAAATACTATTAACATGAAGCGTAATAAGCAAACTATGAACATATTTGGTAATATAGTTTCATATATGGTATATATACGAAAACGCCTCATAATTTTATTTGCTAATGCATCCTCTTTGATCTTGGGGCTGGAAACTGAGGATACTTGTGTATGATTTGATGCATTCCCTTCTTTTTTATGACATAGCATTATAATTATTTGCTTGTTGAGAGCAATAGCTATGGTGATGGAGTGGCGGATAGAGAGTTTGGGGGAAATCAAGAAAAAGATCGGGAAAATGGGAAAGTCATTGGGTCGAGTCAGCTAAGTGGGTCGAAATAAGATTTATTTTTTATTTTAGTCAGAGATTGTCACGCGGCCCAGTAGAAAAATGACACGTCATTAAATGGTAGGACTACCAGTTCTGCCGTTAGTCGCGGGGTAATTTTATTAATAGAATTAAGGTGGTGTATTTTTTGAACGGCTAAATGGACGGAGGATATTTATAAACAATTTAGCAAACCGCTGTGATAATTTTGGTCCTTTTCCGTTTATTTTATATGTCGTCCCAAAATGTCGTAGATGTGATTAATTTTTAATTCCAAAATTACTGTTTTTGAAATGGATAATGAATTATGATGTTACTACAACCTCTAACACAAGTACACAATAACACAATAACACAAGTTTCTAGTAGGATAATTTTTGCTTTTGTTTTTTGGGGTTATGTGAAATAAGCACAAAATTTTTCAAATATGATATTTATGGTTTATTTTTACAGTTAAGTATTTGTGACAACACAAAGCAAGAACATAAGCTCAAATAACAGTGCAACTAAGCATTCATGTTCCTTTGGGTAAATAACTCACATTCAATCAAATGCACCGCTCATATTTTTTGGAGCATGAAAGTCAATAAATAATATTAAATTAATTCTATGAATTATGTACATAAAATATTTAGTTTGACGGAAAGATCAATTAGACAGTATATCCACATCTAGGCATCTCTATTTGTTTTTCATGCAGAGACACTTTTTCCAGGTTACATAAAAGTTATTGTCAAGTTTTGGTCAGAGAAAATTGAAAATAGAATAATAATTAATTCATACATGAAGTATAATATTTAAGAAAATTAAAGAGGAACAAGAAAAAATTTTGATAGGTTATTTCCACTCCTGTGTAGTAATAAATACTACCTCTGTTCCAGTTTATGTGAACTTATTTCCTTTTTGGTCTATTCCAAAAAGAATAATCCCTTTCTAAATTTGGTAACAATTTAGCTTAAACTTACAATTCTACCCTTAATGAGAATCTTTTATAACCACACAAATACTCTGGCCCCCTTTTGACTTGTTTAGGACCACAAATTTTAAAAGTCTTCATTTTTTCTTAAATTCCGTACCTAGTTAAACAGGTTCACATAAATTAAAACGGGGGAGTAATAAAATAAAATGACAATGTAACCGAGAAAAAGTGAGTCTACCGATTTTCCTTTTATTAATATTCATGGACCATAAAAGGAAAAGAAAAGTAGAAGAAATTGATTCTTAAATCCTACGCAAGGGAAAAACCTACTACAGAAAAAAGTTAAGCAAGAATAAGCGTCGAAAAACAGTCAAATCATTTTTTGGGCCCATCATATTCGTGATCAGAGATCAGACGGCTACATTTGTTCCTGGCCCTACAGGATGAGTAGCATAATATACAAAATCGAAAAAGAGAAGAGAATAGAAACCCTAACTTATTGATCAAAGGGGAAAATTTGCCATAACTATCGATTCATCTCGATAAATCACCAAATCGAAAGGCTCTTTCACCAAATCTAAGAAAATGGGAAACGCTGAAAAATTAATGAATCAGATCATGGAGCTGAAGTTCACATCGAAGAGCCTTCAACGCCAAGCCCGAAAATGTGAGAAGGACGAAAAAGCGGAGAAGCTCAAGGTGAAGAAGGCTATTGAGAAAGGAAACATGGACGGCGCTAGAATTTACGCCGAAAACGCCATCCGCAAGCGCAGCGAACAGATGAACTATCTTCGTCTCTCCTCTCGCCTTGACGCCGTTGTCGCTCGCCTCGATACTCAGGTAAAATACCGATCCGAAATATAAGCTGTCGTAAACTTGCATTTCACTTTCTCGATCTCGGAATATATGTAATATATGAAATTAAGTTTAATTTTGTAGAAAATATGTGTAATTTTGATCCAGGACTGTCTATATGTAAATAATGTAAATTATCTGATAATAATTAGATATTAAATTTAGAGATTAGTATATTTGCTGTCCTGAAATTCTGATATATATGTGCGCGTATTATAGGAAATTACTAGGTCGTAAATTAAAAAAAAAAATAATTTAAAAACGTGTAATATTGATCCTGGACTATGTTCTCCATATAGTAGAATTATATGATACTTGCTAGAATGTAAATTTTAAGATATTTTAGTGTGTATATATTAAGAGGTTTATTTACTTCTTGAAATTATGATATGTCTGTGTACGCAGGCGAAGATGGCAACTATTAGCAAGTCAATGTCATCGATCGTGAAATCACTGGAGTCATCTCTCAACACAGGGAATTTACAGAAGATGTCGGAGACGATGGATTCATTTGAGCGTCAATTTGTTAATATGGAGGTTCAAGCTGAGTTTATGGAGAGTTCTATGGCTGGAAGTACTTCCCTGTCAACTCCAGAGGACCAGGTCGGCAGCCTGATGCAGCAGGTGGCTGATGATTATGGGCTCGAGGTGTCTGTGGGGCTTCCACAACCAGCTGCCCATGCTATATCTTCTAAGAATGAGGAGAAAGTTAATGAGGATGATCTGTCCAGACGTCTTGCTGAGCTCAAGGCGCGTGGGTAATTGAGAAACTAAAAATTCTTGTGTTAGTACAGAAGCTCGGGTATTGATGTAACATGATATAGTATGTGAAGTTTTATTTGATGCTCACTCAAAATTGAACAGCTTTAATGTACATTTTATTCTCCTGTGATTGTGTAGTCAATTTGCTTCTATCTAACGAGCTTATGACATTTGTATCTTTGCATTATTGTGTGCTTGTTGATAGTGTATAGACAATTCAGCAGCATCTTAAGACCACTCATTTAGGTAGGGATTCATAAAAAGAAGATACCTTTACTGTGGGAAGAAAATAAGAATTGCTGCATTTGGTTTATTATAAGCTTGAGTATATCATGTCAAACTAATTAGTAGTAGTAGTTTGATTGGTCATCCACTTTTCTTGACACTGTATCTTTTGTTAAATATGATAATATGGAAATTTAGTGACGTTGTATGAAATTTGAGGGCTCTCTTCATTTATGTAGGGGGATGAGATATCATAGTTGATAAATTTAAGAAAGTATGAAGTGCGACTCTTAGTTTATCATGCATGGCTTTGGACTGCCGCAGAAGTGTTTGATATTGGGTGAAGCTCTATAACATTGCACCAGGGTGGTTGTGAATACAATTTATTATCATTTTGACTAGAAAGAATCAGATATTGTGTTTCTTTTATCATTCGCCTTAGTGGATTGAGCTTGCATGCATGTGACAAGAGTAGATAACATAGTCCTGAGGTGCATATTCCTTCGCTAAGTGTTGAAATTGGAAGATCTTTAGGTTGACTCGATAGTAATTCCGTATCCTGTTAACTTATTTTCTGAGATAGCATTGTATGTTCTCAAACTCTGCAAGGTCTATAGCATCATGCAAACGGGTGACTGATAAGTGAAAAAATTACTGGTGCTGAGTTACAACCCCCCGCTTGCATGCTGTATTTGCAAGAACACTTTTCCTATCTCATGAGTCACCCTGCTATGGTTACCCTCAGTTATATAACTGTATGATTAACGGTTTAAGGTTTAATGCAGTAAAGAAGATGTGCAATTCTGTCTGAGGATGAATGATTTGCAATCCTTTTTTGCATACATGTCTGAGGATGAATGATTTGTGAACCTTTTATCTCTTATATGTTTATGCACCTCTTCAGTGATAGCCTATTGCTGTGGGTTGCATGCATTTTCATGCTGAGTATTCACAAGTAGATTTGGGGATGTGGTGCATGCTAAACCCTTCTTCAGAATAGTCATGGATGCTAATGTTTGATGCGAATTGATACTGGCTGACATTGTTGAGAATCTGTGATGCTATGCGATCATGAAGATACATGTAGTTCATGAAGTCTAGATTTTTTTTCCCGTTGGCCTTTGTTTATGTAAAGGAATACTAAACTGAACTGGCTTCATAGTTGCAGAACCAAAAAAGGGATGAAGCTGTGGTTCGCTTTGGGGTTTGCTCTGTTGTAGATAAGATATTTGAGTTCTATACATCTGAGTTTCTAGTGCTTAATTTTTGATAGATCGGTGAATGCGCTCTGAAAAAGTTGAGAGAGGTTTGAGGTTAAACGAAGTTGATGATTGAGCTTGATACTCACAGAAAGTGAGAGCTGTTTAATTAAATTTGTGTCATCCTAAAAGCTCTTTAAATCCAATGATATGGACTTCTGAATTAGTTATGGTGCTTAGGGATGATGAAGACCGTTTACAATTGGGTACGTATTAAGGATTTTTCCTAATATTCAATGGTCCGTATTTTGTTACAGTAGGAGACTTTATAACATTCTCAGTAGATTTCTAATAACGTCAAGTCCGTTCCAGTTAATTAGATCAGTTGCCTGCAACTTCTATCCAGCTCTTCTCTGAAGTTGTTCATTGAACTGGCCATACCTCATTTTACTTCTGATCCTTGATGTGTCAGGGACCTTAAATAGAAAAAAGGTATGCAAACAAAGTGACACAATAGTTTTTTGTAAAATACATACAACAACAGTAATGTCTCAATCCCAAACAAATTAGGGTTGACTATATGAATCTTCACTTCTTTTTTCAAGCTCAATTCATATCATCATTATACTAAGGAAAATGAGAAGTGAGGATCCATATCGCCGACCTTGTCGTAAAATACATGAGAACATTGAATATAGCATGGAATGAAAAAGATCTTGCTTATTGCATTGAGAATTCACAGATATCAAGAAAGACGAACAAGCAACAAAGGAAGTATATTAAAGTTGCTGTTAGATGAGTGCTTATGCTGTTTTGGGAAGCTTCTGCTGAGGAAAAGTTGCTGTTAATTTACCAAAGAAAAACAAAGAAGGGATAAAACTGTCTACCTTTAATCCCTCCACTCCACTAGCAAAATCAGAGGCTTCCATATTCACAGGACGAAGCTATATGGTCGAAAATATGACTCAAAGTCAAATTTTGCTTTGGGTAGCAAGTTCAAATTTTAGGTGTGCCATTCTTATAATTTTTATAAATCTTCTCGTTAGAATTCCTGGCTCTGCTACTGCTTTTGAAGTTTCAGATTGCAGCTTTGGATCTCTCTTTCAGTTATGCATGCTATTTTATTAATCTGAACTAGCATCTTCTAGTGGAATTCACTGACTTAAATCAAAAAGTAAGTGAAATTTTGCTCCCTAAGAATAAATTCATGGAAAAAGAGCAACGACTAGCGTGCTCTAGACCAGACTCTCTCTTATCTGTAATCTCTGTCAGGTACGGATTGGACAGCGGATTAATACTAAAACCAATCTCTCTAATCTCTTTGAGTTTTTTCCACTTGCTGTTTTGTTCTTCCATTTGTTCACAAACTTGGCTGCAGTTTATCACTTCTTCCACATCTTGTATCCAATTAATAGTAGTTGGCCACAAGTACAAAATGCACAGATATATGAAAAAAATGCATATCTAAGTGCAATGATGTGATTTCCACATACAAAAATAATAGCATGACACTCAAACAGAGAATGCTCTAGGATAATTTGCATAACATTTGGAACTTAAACACACACCCCCCCCCCCCCCGACCCAAGAACAAAAACAATATCATTGCAAACAAACAAATGTCGCCCCACAGGACTTCTCCCATCATCAAAACAGGTCATAAGCAAATTTATTCAACAAATAACATTACCTAGACGCAACTACGCAGAAGTGAAATGAAGTATAAATGTTGCATCCTGTTGGATCTTCAATTATCTCCAACGTAGTATTTGTATTTGTGAGAAAGTAGTTTCTCAACTCCTTCAGCTCCATGCATTTAAAGTTCTGCAATTTAACTTTCTTTATCTCATGCCTCCAACATTTCCAAGGTAGAGATGCACAACAAGGTTTCTCATCTTCACCATCAACTTCATCTTCATCTCTGTATGTAAACTACAAAAGCAAGAAAACCACAACGAATAGTAAGGTAATAAATCTCTCCATGAACAATCAATCATGAAATAAATATAGGAAAGGTTCAAATTCTTTGGTATCAGCTTATAAATGATGTGATATCCCCCCCCCCCCCCCCCCCC